TATTTGTAATTTACAAACATGGAAACTGCCTAAGTGTTCACAATTGGCACCTGGTCAACCGTGACGCATACAATGGAATACAATGTTGTCATTCACGCATGTCTGCAGGCGGGGTCAACTTCTGGAAGCATGGATGTGAACAAACATGTGAGAAAAACAAAACACAGTCAGCCAGGGTCCTCGGGAAAGAACAGCATGAATGCTGGAAGGTGTTTTTGAATCAAAATTTTTCTTAATGGAGACCTGTAAAACCATTCAGCTAAGTCTCGGAGCTGCCACTGTGACTCAAAGCCCGTGTAGTCCAAGCTCTGGGACAAGAGGGCTGAACAGTTTCCCTAGAGATATTCCTTCCTAACCCACTTCTGGAACAGAGGGGCAGGCTACTTTTGCAGGGTGCATGCAGTGGGTACCTCGTTCTTTTCCCAGAGAGTCAGCTCCTTCTTGGACTGCTCCAGCTTTTGGGACCGGTCCACCACAAAGTAGATGAGATAAATGCTCCCAGCCAGTGAGAGAAGGACCAGGATGTTGGCAATGATCCTCAGGCAGATCGTCACCACCCTGGGGGGATAGGCAAGCACGAGGACAAGTCCAGAAGGCTCTGCTCAGAGCACCGCCATGCACAGACATGCAACTTAGGGAGCGAACACACCCACTGCCAGGGGAACTCTATGCCCTGAAGGATCACTGCCCCTCCCCCCCCCAGAATTCCTCATTTGCTAAGAGGTCAACGATGAGTCATAAATTCAACCAGACATCATCAGTGAGGCTTTAGATAAACAAACAAAGACGCAAAGGAATGTCACCGGTTTTAGCGTCTGAGTAGTGGGGTTTCAGTTCTTGCTTTGCTACGAAAAATTGGAGTCCTGCGATATGCGCCTTTAAGTTACAGGAGCTCAGGTAAATGTGTTCACCAGAGGCAGGGAGGGAGGACTTGTGATTCTGTCTGTCATTCCATATAATGAACCCGACATTGTACCACGTATTTCCTTAGTAGTTTATTAGCTGTCCTTTCCCTCTAGAATGTAAGTTCTCAATCCTTTGAGTCTTTTTCACTGCTGTATCCTCAGTTCTTAGAACAGGCATAGCACATAGAGGTGCTTAATCAATATTTGCTAGATGAACAAGCAAATAAAGGAATAACTAAAAGATCATGTGATGGTCATGGGGCTCATCTCTTTCCACATTCAGTCTCACCTCCCTCATGCCTCTCATGCTGTGGGCAGATCTCTAAATTAACGGTGATTCCAGGATCTCACGTTTCCAGTCTTAACTGAAACACATCCACTTTTTCTGACACTGCAGGACAATTCACCATCTGACTCCAGTTGGCCTATTTTTAAGGCATCTTCTTCTGCCAACCTTGGGGCCTGTCTTAGCCTGGGTTTCCCTGTAAGCAGAACCTCAGGCAAAGGCCTGTTTATAGGTAGTTGATTTGAGAAGTGTTCCCAGAAAGCAAGGGTGAGGTCTGGGGGCGTGGAACAGGAGAGACAAGCCATCAATACAAAGCTGTGTGCTGGAACTGGACGCAACTGCAGAGACTTCTAGGGACTTATGAAATGCCTCTGAGAGCTGTCAACCCGGCGTGAAGTTGAGAAGTGTTTATCCTGCTCCCTATGGTCCAGGGTGATTTCATGAGTGTCACCTCCTAGCACTGCGCCCAGCCTGTTGGTTGCACGTGCATACATGTTGACCAGCATCTTGGGGGTACCCCCCACACCACAGCACCTGTCCAGCCCTACCCAGCATGGGGGCTGGAGAATGGTGTGGCCAAGAAGATATGAAGGGGCACATGAGAGGTATACTATCCTCTCCATGAAGTTCCACCAGCTGTGGGCCTTGGGCAGGTCACGACACTGCCCTCTACATGCATCTTGGCCCTTCATCTGCACTTTGAGGAAACTCACTCCCAAATGAAATGATAAATGTCATCCTGCCTAGCAAAAATAAAAACATGGCACATTATACTATTATTATTATTATTATTGTTATCAACTCTGGTGGAGGAGAGCTAAAGATAAAGACTCAGGGGGCAGAATCCCATCCTTCCATTTCACAGGTGAGGAAGTGCAGGTTTGGAAAGGTTGTGGGAGTTTCCCAGGTCACGGGTGCTAATGACAGAGGGAGAGCTAGAAACTGCATCTTTTGAATCCCTAGGGCCAGCCCTTCCTACACCACCTCTTCCCCCTTCTCCTCATCCCAGTGGCTGGATGTATTTCCTTCACTCCTTGTGTCTTTTTCTACAACAGGCTGAAGGGCTTTTCTGCACATGAGAAACTAGTGATGATAAGATGTGGGATGAGCAGATGTGTCTGTCCCTTGAGGACAGGGTCATTGTCCCTTCCTGGGAATGGCCTTCCCTTCCAGCAGGTCTCTGGTTGAAGGGTCTCACCCTCACCAGCATAGCTCTCAGGTTCTTGAGAAGAAGCTCAAGCCTAGGAAATCATCTTGTAAGGCTTGTGAACAAGAACTGGATAATATTTGTGTCGTATAACTTCAGAGATTTGTTTCTAAATAAAATTCGTCTTAGGAGCACTAATATATTAGCTTCATTTAGCGAAGTAGAAGTTGGCACCGAAAATATCTCTTTTATTATCTAAGTAAAAGAATAGAAAACTGTTCAACCTCAGACCTCTCATCCTTGTCACAGGATCTATGGCAGGAGGAAGCACCCTCAAATGCTGCTAAGGAAAAATCACAGAGTTCCCACAGATCACATTACTAGAATCACATTGCTAGGAGAAAAAAGAGCTGCCTGATGATGTGTCTGGAAATTTTTGTACCAAATTGAAACGAAGCATATCAATGAATTTAGTATAGGGGGTATTAATACCTACATGTTTTTGCTTTTCTTCTTTTCCTGTTCTTCCAGGATAGCCTCCTTTAAAGAACAACACACATAGCATTAAAAGTTTAGCATCACCGTTAATCATAAATCATTGGAAATTATTTATCCAGTCCTTTAACTTATATCATCGCTGGCTAAGCCTTTATTCTATAAGAGTCTATGGACACCAATGAATTAAATGTCGATGATCTAGTAATCAACTTGAAACAAAAGAAACTGAAGACTGAGAAGAGGAAATGGAGATGGTGCGAGTGAGATGGTTCAAATTATCTAAAGGATTTTTTTTCTCATAATGGGGCACCATTTAGCTGTCTGGATAGCCTAGTAGACCCACATCTCTGAATGCTTTTAATTGCATTGACTTCTAAGGTAAAAACAAAGCCTATTTACCTAACATATATGAGGGTACTTCATGGAAAAATAGAGTTCAAAGATACTGCAGGAGGAGAGGCAAGGTGGCCGAACAGAGGGGTGTGGAGCTAGTTCCCCCTCAACAAAAGAGACCAAAACAACCAACAAACAAATGTTCTTTGATGAGCAACCAGGAGTTGGGAATAGCTCCACAGAGAACAGAGCAGGGCATCCAGCCTCTGCCCCACCGCAGAGACTGGCTTGGAGTCAGGTGGAGAGAAGGTAAGCTAGAAAAAACTTCAGCTGTGTCCACAAACGCCAGCAATCCCTGCCACAGGAGAGTCCCCCAGTCCTTTCAGGCCCCAAACCCAGTTTGAAAGCAGCTGGGAGTTTGTGCGGCTACATGACCTTATAGTAGAAGCCCAGGGAGAGGAACTGACCCCTTCCATCCTGAGCAGCTATGGCATAGCGCCATCTTGAAATGGAACGTGTGGCTGGAGGGCACCCTGCCCTGGACCCAGTGAAACTGACTCCTTTTATCTATATTCTACCACATTCACACAGGCACTAGCAGGACCATGGCCCCGGCTGCCTGGAGCCTAGACCAGGCAGAAAAACTGAGACCCCAATGTCTGAGCCCATGTAGTGCCCCATCCCCTCCATCAGGCAGGCAGACAGGCTGAGCAGGGAAGCAGGCAATAAGCAGCGATTCCCAACATTCACGTGCACCCACCCTGCATGACTTGCAGACCTGCTGAACTCACAGGTGCCTGCACTGGCTGGCAGCCCTGCGGTAACCCCCTCTTCCCCTGCAACCCTTCACAGAGCCATCGGGGCTTGCTGCTTCCTTGCAGGCTTGCTGCAGTCTCAACAGCTGATCTAGCAGCCCTCTACAGAACTGCTAGGACCTGTTGCACTGGCATACAACTGCTCCCAGACCAGCAGCGGACCAAGCAGAGGCTTTGACTCTCCAAGGAAGGCCTCTACAGAGCTGCTGGGGTGGCTGCTCCTTTGCAGGTTTGCACGAGGCTCAACAGCTGACCCAGTGGTCATCTGCAGAGCTGCCAAGCCCTGGGGCACCTGTACACACCTACTCCCTGACTAACAGTGGACTGGGTAGCAGCTTTTCCTCCCCATAGCAAACCTCTAGAGAGCTACTGGGTCCTGTGGCTTTCTCCAGTCTCAACAGCCAATCCAGCGGCCCTCTACAGAGCTGCCAAATGACCTTTGACAAAGGCACTTAAAAACATACATTGGAGAAAGGACAGTCTCTTCAATAAATGGTGCTGGGAAAACTGAATATCTATGAGTAGAAGAATGAAATCAGACCTCTGTCTCCATATACAAAAATCAACTCAAAATGGATTAAAGACTTGAATGTAAGACCTGAAACTAAAAAATTTCCAGAAGACATGCTTCAGGACATAGGACAGACAAAGATTTTATGAATAAGACCTCAAAAGCACATGCAATAAAAGCAAAAATAAACAAATGGGATTTTATCAAACTAAAAAAGCTTCTGCACAGCACAGAAAACAATCAACAGAGTGAAGAGACAACCTACAGAATGGGAGCAAATAGTTGTAAACTATGCATCTGACAAGGGGCTAATTTCCAGAATATACAAGGAACTCAACTCAATAGTAAAAAACAAATAACTCAATTAAAAAATGGGCAAAAATCTGAACAGACATTTCTCAAAAGACACGCAGATGACTAGCAGGTAAATGAAAAAATGTTCAACATCACTAATCACCAGGGAAATGCAAATTAAAACCACATTGAGATGTCATTTCACCCCAGTTAGACTGGCTATAATCAAAAAGACAGAAAATAAAAATGCTGGCAAGGATGTGGAGAAAGGGAATCTTTTATACACTGTTGGCAAGATTGTAAATTAGTACAGCCATTTTGGAAAACAGTATGGAAGTCTCTCAAAAAACTACAGACAGAACTACCACATGACCTAGCAATCCCACTACTGGGTACATACGCAAAAGAATGGAAAGCGTCAGGTCGAAGGGAAACCTGCAGTCCCATGTTTATCACAGCTCTATTTACAATAGCCAAGATATGGAACCAACCTAAATGTCCACTGACAGATGACTGGATAACGAAAATGTGGTATATATACAAGATGGACTCCTACTCAGCCATAAAAAAAAAGAATGAAATTCTGCCATTTGCAGCAACATGGATGAGCCGGGAGAAATTATATTAAGTGAAATAAGCCAGGCACAGAAGGAGAAAT